TATATATATATATATATATATATATATATATATATATATATATATATATATATGCACGCGTTATACGCGACAGTTGATGTTTACACCTGCGTAGCTGCTCGTTTTGACGTGAATTCACGAGCTAGCTCTCGCGCACGATTCGCGACTAAAATAAGACGGCGACAAGCTGTAACTTCGTTATTAATTTACGCTGCATTCTCGAGAGCGTTGTCGATGAGCATGACGGAATATAACGTGGAATCTTTGCGCGCGCGCGCGCATGCAAAGTCGTTGGATTTATCTCGAATCCGAAGCGTTTATTGCGAACTAGACCCCGGGATATTGTGCCGCGTCATAATTAGCCGACGTCGTGAGAAATCCGACGACGCTCTCTCTCCCTCTCTCTCTCTCTCTCTCTCTCTCTCTCTCTCTCTCTCTCTCTCGTCAACGTGATAAATACAATATTGCCGGCTTGCGTTCCTCCTCTTTTTTCTCAACGCGACACGACGAGTCAGCTCGCGCCGAGGTCCACGCCTTCGACGCGACGTTTGACTCCTGTGTTTCGATGAGCAGCAAATAAAATCAGATTTCGCGGCAGCGCGCCCAGGTCGGCGGAAAATTTCTTTTGCGGGGGCCTGATGGGATTCCAGGAATCTTCCGATATCGCGTGTCTCTCCCGGAAGACGCATGGTTCCGATAAAAAGAATCGCATCGGCGGAGGCGATCTCGGGAATTCCTTTGAAAAAAGGGCCGGGAGGCAGAATAGAAAGGAAGGAGACGATGGAGCGAGGAGAGCGAACATGGAGGGCGCGAATTTATGTTCCGCACGCATGGGGATTTATGGGCCGCTAATTGGGGGTGGAATCGGCACCCGAGGGGAAGGAGGCGGGAGCCGAAGATGGAAGGCGCGAGAGCGCGCGCTGTAAGCCAAGAATATCCGGCGCGCAACTTTTAAGAATTAATTCTCCCGGATAAAATGGTCGTCCGCACGCCACCCTCGCGCGGTCTTCGTAGGTTCAGTTGGGAGCAGCCAGCCGGTCAGCCTTTGTCGGGGTTAATTAATTAGCAGCCTGCGAACTTTCGCCTTCGTTGCTGCCGTTCGCGCGCGCGCCACCGCCCCGAAGTCGAAATTAATCCTTCCTACTCTTCTCTCTCTCTCTTGTAAGAAAGCGCGGCGATCTCAAGCAGTCCTGAGGGATTGTCCGGATGACCCAGGCGAACCGTTGCCGAGTTGTGTTTCGCGTTCTGTGTACGCTTTCAGTTTCACGCGAGAGAACAGAGAGAGAAGAAAAGACTCCGACGCATAAAGCGCCCCGAGTAGACAATCGACCATTTCCTGGCCAATAACTGAACAGGAATGTTGTTCACCAGTTTCTGGCCAGTATTCTGGTTCAGTATGACTACTTTCTAACAAAGCTTAATTACCTATAAAAACTGTTCCTGAATTAATGATCGTTTATTCTCAGAAATGTTTCTATTCGGGCGCGATCAAAATATTTGCTGGGAATAGCTCGAATCACACATAGGTAAATGTGAAACTCCGTACGACGTGGCTTGAAATTCATCTTTGACATGTACTTATAAGAAGTTATGCGTTTAGAGCAAGTACTTTACCACTTGTGTCCGAAAATTTAACTATTCAGCAACTCTGCGCCAACTAGCAAGTGAGAAGACTTCCCGCCTCTCCTGTCGTCCTCTTCCTCCTTTTCCTCCTCCTCCTTCTCTTCCTTCTCTTCCTTCTCCTCCTTCTCGGCTTCCTGCTCGTCGCCGTCGCTCGAAATTTCGTTAGGATACTCGACTCGAGAGGAGTTATTTTTACGAAGTCAGATTTAGGAGTCTCGCCGGGCGGGCGCCGCGCTTTAATCTACATCGAAATTCTAATGTGGCGCGTTTCTTTAGCATTTTATGCTAATGCCGCGTCGTACCCCTCAAAGTTCACTTTGACAGCTTCGCCGGCAGTGCGGCGGCAGCTGATGAAAACGGCACGGTCCGCGAGACGCATTTCGCACATTTCGGGAGATGTGCAAGAACGGCCCGATTCCGTCGTGTCTCCAGGACGATTCCGTCCCCGAACAATTTTTGTAAAATATTGACTTCGCGTCTTTCGAAAAATCCATCACGCGCTCTATACTTGCGCGTTCAAATCGATCGATCAGAATTGCCAATCGGCATAACACGTTGCGTATATATGTACACAGGTTCCAAACTGCGATAATTATCGTGCAATTTCGCCAGATAAGATCCAGCGAATCCATCGTACGATTTTGATTTTTTTAATTCTTTCTTCTTATTCCCCCCTCTCTCTCTCTCTCTCTCTCTCTCTCTCTCTCTCTCTCTCTTTTCTTTCCTTTCCAACACATTCCTCCAATTCAATATTATGGCCGAACGTGCGGGGTATTTTACCCCACTGAGACTCGGAAAGACACGGCTACTTTTAATAACCCAGCAGCACCATCGTCTATTATACGGCTCTCACTTACAAAGTATAATGTCTCCTCGTTTTTGCGCTCAGTATGCGTCTAATTTTAATACTCTTGCATCTATTTTCGTTTGGCCTCTCGCATTTCTTCTCCTTTCTCTTCTGACGTCGTCCTATTTCTCTCTCTCTCTCTCTCTCTCTCTCTCTCTCTTTCTGCGTTTCCCCCATCCTTCGCTCTTTCTTTCACTTCTCTTTAGTCGTTCCTCTGCTTCGGAAGAAATCATGTTCTATTTCGCCTTATCACGCTCGACGAAACGCACCGAGAGAGAAATTTTCCGTGTTATCGCGCCCGAAGTGGATCACATATCGCATCGACGTCGTAAGATTTACCACGACGCAGGGTAGACCGGGACAAGATCGTACACCCGAGTCGAAATTTTGACTCTATGTTGAACCTTGAATTCTACACAGTAGGAGCTAAGTAGGTTCAATTCTAATCATATAATTTACTCCTACTTTGACCCTGATGATGTCTAAAAACTTTCGCTTTTTTTAGCGTCAAAGTAGGTTGTATAATAGTAGGATCTTAGGAAGCAAAGTAGGTTCAGTTGCGAACCTCTATTGAAGCTTTAGCTCCTACATAGAATATATGTATTTTATAGAAATATTTAAAAAATTTAATAAATAATGAAACAGAAATGTCAAATAGCATACAAAATATACCTTTTATTTGTCGCATATATTTTAGACATCATCAGGGTCAAAGTAGGAATAAATTATATCATTAGAATTAAACCTACTTTGCTATCTTAGCTCCTACTGCGGTGTAGAATTCAAGGTTCAACATAGGGTCAAAATTTCGACTTGGAAATGAGTGCCAATTTCGTCAAAATAGATTTCACCTAGATTGTAGATTATCTAAGTAGGCTCAAACTATTTTTAAGAGCGTCAAAGTAGCGTCAAAATGTTGACAAGGTAAAGTTAAAGATTCAAAAGAGAAGTTAATGAGTATCAATATTCTCAAAGTAGGTTTTATCTAGACTATAAACCGTCTAAGTAGGCGCAAACTATCCTTAAGAGCGTCAAAGTAGCATCAAAATTTTGACTCTGGCACATTCTCAGAATGTCGAGGCTACAACTTTCCAATTGCTGTGACAGACCGTACAATCGCGGGCGGGAAAATTGCCCGCCTTTCTTTGTGAGTTTGAGAACGTGTTCTGCCTTGTCTAATGAAATAATGGACTTTCCAATAATGCGGGAGATGTTCTCTCTCATTGGATACGTTCTTAAACTCACAAAAAAGGTGGACAGCCTTTCTGTCCGCGATTGTACGTGCACGCGATAAGGACAACTCTCCGCTGCGTTTTACGCCAGAGAGATCATATATTTTGTTCCTCTGTAGTAACCGAAATGTGTGCTGTAACGTGACCGTGTTGTCCTGATATCAAGTCAAGTTGCCTAGTCACCTAATGCAGGTTCACGCTGCGTCGACATCCGACGTCCGACACCTATAAACAAAGCGTATGGTCGACATGACTCCTGGGTCAACTAGACCAGGTCTTCCCGATGCATTGAGTCGAGTTCGCTGCAATGAGCGATCCCCGTTTTCGTGCTGCCGACCACCAGATGTTTTCCCCCTCTCTCTCTCTCTCTCTTTCTCTCTCTCTCTCTCTCTCTCTCTCTCTCTCTCTTTCTCTCATATTCACGTCGCCTTATAAAATTGGGAACGTTTGTCTGTTACAGAATCCGAACAACCAGGTTGCGATCTCCGGGCAGAACCAGGTAGCCGGCGCCGGCGAGACTCAAGGCGGGCCCAACACGGTTCTTCGAGTCATCGTGGAGCACATGATCTACCCGATCTCCCTCGACATACTCTATCAGGTATGTACCAGAATTCGTCATATGCAGCGCGTACACGGAGAAAAATATCATTCTGCTACGGAGACAGGCGATCGCTCGCAGTTTACTTTCCTTCCTTGAAGTAACGATTATCTTCAACGAAGAGGGAATCTTGTTGAGTCTTAAAATATGCTTATCGCAAATCCTGGAAAAGCTTATTATCATGTACTTAAAAAAGAAGAGTGTACTCTCTTTACCAGAAACTGTAAAACTTTGTCGAAGAAAGAGTTGATTCGACTCTATTTGGTAAGCAAATCGAATTTTCGTCTCGAATTTAATATTCCCAATTGAAATGCTGAACTCACCAGGATTCAGAGTGTATTTCGAACAAATTCGATGCTTATGGCGAACCTACGATAAATTTACGAAAGGATAAACTTACGAAAGTAACTTTTGCTTCAATGCAGTTTGTATTTTTCTGCGTGTAACGGCCGGCTCTCGTTTATTATTCCTTCGTTTCATATTGAAAACAGTCGCGCGCCCGCGACCCGCGTCGAATAAAGCGTCGCGCGCGTAACGCGCCGATGAATTATATACGCGCGTTTGAATACGTACGCGTGCAGTTGTATGTATGCTGAAGAACGATCGCAATTTTTCACGAGTCGTGTTTACGTAGCCGCGGATATTTCGAGAGCACGCCCGCGCGAGTCGCGCGTGAGTTCCGAAAAGTTTATTAGCTCACTGGAAAAAGCGCGGAAAGATTAGCATTTAAAGACTCAAGCAATATCCGTAAGAAATAGAGAAGAGAGTGGCCAAAATCTTATATAATTTTTCAAAATATTCACAACACATACAAAAAACAAGATACAATCTGAAATTTTTTTGTTTATACTTTGCATAGCTCATTTATTTCTCATTTTTATCGTTAAATATCGTTAATATTCAATAATAATAAAGAAATTGATACGATTTAGGAGATCGAGATGATTTCGGCTAATCTCCCTCTATATCGCTGAGTCTGGCAAAAAACGAATTTTGTCAGTATTTAGCCACGAGATAACAAATTTGTGTCTAACATCACTATTAGTCAATATAACTATCTCTTACCTCTCCTAATGACTTAGCTGAGCATTAAACAAACGAAATTACAGTTATAAAAAATTATAGGTAGTTCTTAGCTAGTAATGTAACACTTTATCCTATTTTTGAAATTTTTCTAAATTAGTGAAACTTCAAATTTTGATTCACCACCAATTTTTTTTTAAATACTAATGATGATACATAATAGCTAGATTATATATTTTAGGTTGAACAGAGCACCATCTGCTCTATCATATTTGATATGTGACAGCTAGATAAAGGCTATAGGCCTTTAAAATTCTATATTTCAGTGAATAATCGACTAATAACGAATTAGTAACGAGCTAGAAAATTTAATCTAACCTATATTTGTCAGCTACGAATTTTCGATTCAGGCCGGTTAGTTACATTTCTACTCGGGTCTACACGGCCATATCGAGTGTCGTTCCGCGATGAAAAAGAAAATAGAGTTCGTGATTGGCGAAGGAGGCTGCAACGGAAAGAGTTAACGTGATTTAGCCTGGACGTCGAGCGTCGTCGGCGAAAAACGTGCCGCACAGCACGCTGGCCGCGCGAGTCCGAGTTAGTGGAATTCCGCGGACAATTCCGTGGTCGTTAACTCGCGCGCGGATATTTGGTCAACGTTTACAAGTCGGGCGTGAATTCCGCTTGATTAATTCGCCGAGTTGCGGCCGCGGCGAAGTTACATCGCGTTTTACATATTGAGTGCTTGTCGCGGACGGCGCCGGGGCGACTGTTTGCAGTTTTAAAATTGAATATACGCCGGGCGTACCCCGCCGAGATAACTGAATTTTAAATAATTGATTGTTAAAGTTATATAGAATAATCTCCTTACCGGCCGCGACCGGTGGAATTGTCGGCGAGTCGCCGACGTGCATAGCGATGGATTTTACGCGACATTTGTAAGACGCTGATTGCACTAATCGCGCGAAATCCACGACGTTTTGCCTTGTTACGCAAGTAGGAGAGACCGGGCCACATAGCCTTAAGGGTATGTTGTTCACGTGTTTTTTTTAGTATTTATCTTGAGAGAAATAGTAGATACGAAATCGCGAAATGTCCTTTTAGAACATAGATATTTCTTCTCTTCGTTTCATTAAAATCGAAATATCACAGTTAACAAGTAGACAAAATTGGTTTAGTAACAGTAAAGTAAATTTTCGAGTCTCGCGAAATTTTTTATTAACCCTCTACTGCCCAAATTAATTTCTCATGTTTAAAAAATGTTTCATGTACATAAGATGTTTAAAACTAAAATATTCAACATATATAAGGTGAAACTTGTCTAATTTTTTTTATTTTCCCAAAATATGTGCGGCCATTTGGTAGTGTAAATATTAACTTACTATCGTTGTCAATATTTAAAAAGGCAGCTATTGTGACTTTCACGTCACATCAGTCGAGATAAGAACAACACTTATATTAGAAATAAATAATGTTCAAACTGGATTGTGACTTCAGTGGGCAGTAGAGGGTTGATATCGCGTTCTTTCTTGCACAGACATTAATGTCACGTTCAAACGAATCGTATGTCGTTTGAAGCAGCAGGCACACGTCGCAGAAGTCTGCGCACGGAGACAATTTGTAGAGATTAGAGATTGGCGTGCCAAAAGCCGTCCGTTTCTACTTCGTCGTTGCGGATGTGTAAACCCCACGACCCACGAGATAACTGGTTTCCACCAGTTCCGTGTTAGGAACGATCTCGCGAAAGCGCAATTCACGAATTGCGATCATTATTCACGCGAAAGTACTCGCGAGGGATTTTCCTCGTCGTCGAGTCCATCTCGATACCTCTCCCTTTCTCCCGATTCTCGTGGAAGAATTGCAAATGCGAACGGTGCGCAAATGCGAGGAAACTATCTTTAACACTATCGATTCACCCGGGGCGCGCGCGGTATACCAGCTGACGTTTCTCTTTTTCTCACGAGGGAATCAGGTCGTGGCGGAGCGAAGAGAAACGGAGAGATGGACAGAGAGAAAGAGTGAGGGAGGGAGGGAGGGAAAGGGAAAGCGGGAGCAGCCGCGTTAAGCCGATAATGGACCGGGCAGAAAACATTCCCGGATTACCAGCCGACGATTGGCCGGGCTGTGTTCGGCTGCGTAAGTAGGCTTACACGTAGGTTTTGGCAACGGCAGACTGGATTTGTGTCCACGTGGTTGTGCGCGCGCGACTTGTAATCAGCTCGGATGATCAACCCCGCCGTCGTCGAAGCCAACCGCTCGGGACTCGCTCGTTGATCGGACGGATTTTTCCAAGTCGCTCCGATGGTATATCGAATAATTTGTGTCGCGAGAAGAATCCGGTCGATTGACGCTTATCCAGCGAGATTATTCGGAACGAAGGGAAACTTCCTGTCGCGCGAAGATATCGAACCGTTTTGCCAAAGTCCGTCCTATATTTCTTGGGAAGATGAATCGCCCGGAAATGTTTGAACTCTGCATATCCGATGCATTACCAGGCCGACGTGGAGATCGTGGCGGAAATTGTAACAGATTTGTTGGAGACGTCCCGTAGAGTAAAACACCCAATTATTGACTTCCTTGGTTACTGACACTCGAGCAAAACCTGGTCTTTTCTCGTAATCAACGTTGCAATTAAACTTCTTGCCTATGTTCTACAATTCCAAAAGAGAACTTCACAACCAAAACCATGGATAACAGACCGTTCTCGAGAATAGCCCAGTTTTCCTCGCATAGAAAACTTGTCAGTTTCTGACCAGAAACTGGCTAGGAATTTTGCTTGCTGACTGGTTTCTGACCAACAACTAGCCAATATTTTCCTAATCAGTTTTTGAACAGTTACTTTTAAGTCTGATCTTTCTGCAATGTGCTATTTGCTTCTCTCTTAATGTGAATCAGTGAATAGTCACTGATATCAGTTATGAGTATAGCATTGAGCACTTTTAGTGCTATACTTATTACTGTAATCAGTATATATTCACTGTTTTCAGTTTGACTGATTCATTTTAAGAAATTTCCTAGTCCTCTATCTTTTTCTAGCTTAAGGCTTAAGTCAGAAAGAGATAAAGAGAAAAATATAGAAAACAAAGAGCATATTGTATAAACTAGGTTAAATAAATCTCATAATGAGAGAAAATTTTTGTTATTTGTAGCTATAATCACACAGAAATTATAAATTTATAGAGTTATAAGTAGACTATAAATTATAGTCGAGAGAAAATGATTTCTTTTATTGAATTCTACTATAATGTTAGCGACAACAATCTTATATACATGTTTCTCTTACCATTTCGCTACAGAAGACAAAAATAATTATAATTTCAATTAACCATTTTCTCTCTTAAAGTAGTCACCAAACACTGCCCAGAGTTTCTGGCTAGTGTCCTTCTTGGAAATTTTCCTAATTGGCTTCTAGAATGTCTAAAAGGGATGTCAATAATTGGATGTTTTACCCCACACGTCGCGCCGCGCCGCGTCTTGCCGATGTCCGACATGAGGTCGTCTTGTTCTACTTTTGCGTGCGTAATCCGACACGGTGCCCCGCGGAAGAGCGTGCAAATGTCGTCTTCTCGAGACGGATTAAAGCCTGATCTACAATATGCTCTTTGCATTCTGTTTCTTGTCCTCTGTCTTTTTCTGGCTTAAAGCTTAAGGTTTGAGTCAGAAAGAAAAAGAAGCAAATGGCATATTGTAGATCAGGCTTAAGCGTCACCACGTAGTCGCGATTTCACGCTTGCTCTCCGTTATTCAAAGCGAGCTCTACAAGCTGCATGGGAAACGTGTATCTTTGGCAGAGATTCAAATCGCACACGGACAGGTGTCCCCGAGATGCAGCCGCGTCTAAACGTCCGCTGGTCGCGCGTTTAAGCGCCGATCTCGTTGTTGACCTCCTCTTTCCGCGCCGCGCGCGGAATTGTCGACTTCGCCGTGACAATCGAAAAAGCGGTTTACCATCTCACGCCACGTCCGGGACCTCGATT